CAGTGTGCAAATTCTGTGCTTTCTCAGAGCACTCAGAGCAGGTAATGCAGTACTGTTATTTATAGGTATAAAGAGGAACAGATACAGTGGTGGGACAATTAGGACTTGCGCTGTCTTCAGTAACTCCTACTATTTTAAATGCAGCGTATTACAGTCACATGGCTTTTACAATTACCCCTCAAATGTACTCAGTCACAGTAACGTGAGTAATAACCGTGACTTTCCACCCCCTGGTCCTTGCATGTGCTGTTATGTTGTTCCATTATTGATATTTTGTGTCTTGAGTTAGTGTCTTGCAATCACTCAGCAGCAATATTTCTTTGATATACTATATATAAAATTTCTTCTATATAATTTTCACAGATCTGTCCATCCATCATGCTGAGGGCTCAGAACGATATAAACATTTAATTAGATTGTTAATAGATGTAAGACAAAACTGACTTCATTTTGTAATCCAATTAAAATGGTATTAGTGCCTCTCTTATACAGGCTGTTTGGGAAATTAGAACATCTATTAAAAAGCTAGTTCAAATAATAACTAATTTGGATTGTACCCCTGCTGTACAAGTTTCCAGTTAATGTACCAATTACTTTTATTAAGTGACTAATTTCTTTTCACTGAATAATAGTACCATGTGTATTACGTACCCAACATGTTCTAGCTTCTAAAAAGGACCACAACCAAAAGTGCGCTGTGTAACTTTTTCTATTGAAGGGTCTGTCTTGTTTTTGCTTGGTCTGAAATGTTCAGTATGGCATTAAACCTTTCAATCTTCATGGAGACCAAAGCAGACAAAGTTACAGGTCAGATCTGTGGAGAGGCACAGTTTTTCTAGGTGTTTTTGAGCAGTAAAACCACCCATAATTTAATAAATGTAAGGTAGATCTGTTTAATGTTTAATATTGTGGAATATTCTAAGCAGAGCAATGGCATATCCATAGACTCAAGAGGGTCCCCCAACCTAAAAGTTACACAGTGCACCTTTAATCATGACTTATAATGACATACTACTGCAACTATCCTTTATTACATTTACCACTACACTCAACTTACTGCTTTTAATTTAAATGTCAAGTCTGTGCAGAGATGATGTTAAATTAAAGCAGGAGTTTTAATCAAAGTCTCTCTCTAACAAGCTGTGGTACTTTTATTCTATTATACATCCCACTTAAACACATTAGCCTTCAGTGAACAAATGAGTATATATAGCATGTTTTGCACCAGGCATCGTAATTGCCTTAATGCTTGATCGAGATGAGATTTTCAAGCTACTTTCTACTACTGATTACACAATTAACTTTTTTTGTCTGGATTGTTTTGTTTAAGTGAAGAAAGGTTTCCTGAAAGCTAAAAAGACCAGCAGTTTCACTCTACCAAAAGGAGGCATGGTTGAGCTGCTTGTGAGGGGAGCCAAAAACTTAACAGCTGTAAATCTGGAGGGACTTCTGATCCATTTGTTAAAGGGTATGACACATTTTTGTTACACAATCAGCAAAAGAAATATAGTTTTACTTGTCTACTTGTTCAGAAACTTTATTTAAAGAGCCCACATTGCACTATTTTCTATGTTATAATGTTTCCTCATCACAGACATACCTGAAGTTGTGTTTTGTTTCATTCACACATATCCTGCATATTTAGACTGAGTTCTTCTGGAAAACAGAGAACCCTCTGTTCCAACTTGTAATGTCATGCAGTAATACAGGAAGTGCTCCACTTCATACATCTTCACCAGAATCATTTGGATCATTTCAACAATTCTGGAACAGCCAAGCTCTACAGAACTAAAGCATTAGAGCATTTCAAGTTTTGGAGATGTAGACAGACTAATAATGCAGGTTTACTCAAACACATATGAATGAAACAAAACACAGCTCCAGGTCTGTTTTTGAGGAGGTATTTTAACATGACTAAAAGCTCCTAAGAGTCTATTTTGTTTAATATAGGACTTTTAAACATTTTCTCTTTCAGATATCTACTCCCAGACAGCACAAAGTCAACCAAGCACAAGACAGAGGTGGTGAGGGGCACAGTGAACCCCATGTGGAACCACACCTTCACCTACTGTGGTCTGCAGCCTGGAGACCTCAACAACGTGTGTCTGGAGCTGACCGTCTGGGACAAAGAGGCTCTGGCCAGCAACGTCTTCCTGGGAGGGGTCAGACTCGGAGCTGGGACAGGTCTGTGGCATTTCATACACAATGACTACAGCAAGCAGCAGGGATTGCTATAGTTGGCAGAATGAAGTACAACTAAGTAAAAATTTTAGGTATCTGTACTTTATTTGTAAATTAATTTTGTAACTTTTCTAGTGGAGGGCGGATGCCCAATGCTTTTCTCCGTGGACAGGCAACTCACTCACTGTCAGAATACCTGTTTTTCTAGGTATTTTTGAGCTATAAAATCACCTGTGATTGAGTAAATGTAAGGTAGAGCTGTTTAATGTCATACTGTGGAATATTCCTGGTAGACTGATGACATATCCATAGAAATAAGCATGTGATGGACCTCCAATCAAAAAGCACCATTTAAGTAGATTTTACAGTGGGTACTTTTTGCTTTTACTTCACTACATTTGAGAGCAGGTATCTGTACTTTTTACTTCACTACATTTTTGAACAGGACTGAAAATTAAAAGATTTTTTTTTATTATTGTGTGAGACCTGCTGAAAAGGCTGAGGGTTTACTTCACGTTCATAGTTTGAGCAACCAAAAATATACAAATATAAACAGCTAGGAAGAAATATTAATAATTCATTTGTTATTGTTGAACAAAATTCAGTGCAAATCTGTATCAAAATTACTCTGAGTAAATTTTTAAACAATATTTTAATACTTTTTCTTAAGTTGATTTTTCTCATGTGATACTTTTACTTTGACTTGAGTATTTTTTTCTCCAGTATCTCTACTTTTACTTAAAGTAAAAGTAACAAAGTAACAAAGCTGAGTATTTGTTCCACCTCTGATTACTGCAGAGTTGCTCCATAAAAAGTAAGACACTAGATAAAAACAAAGACACAGGCACATACTTTTTCAATAAAATGTTTCAGTACTTTCGATTTCTTCATTGTGCTGCTCAGAATGGGGTATCTCCTGGTGAAGATTTCATAACCACTGTAGTACTCACAGACATAAGTTCTTTAGGTTTGCTACTAAAATACCAACAAATACAAAATAAAATAATAAACATACACTGTGTTATGTTTAGGTAAGAGTTATGGGAAAGAGGTGGATTGGATGGACTCGTATGGAGAGGAGCAAAGGTTGTGGCAGAGAATGATTGAGAATCCAGAAGTCCCCCATGAGTGTACGCTGATGCTTCGGTCCAGTATGCGCAAGCACTTCACATGAGCTGCCCTCAAGCACACAAAAGACAATATCAGAGGAGGAAAAGAAAGAAGCAGTGTCAACGTGAGAAGAAAGCAGACGAACAAACAAGTTCTGAAATCATCCATGAAGGAGTGTGGCTTGGGCCGTATCTGTGGAGCCAGTCATGCCTTACATCCACATGTGCCACTGTCATCCACAATACTCGAGTAGTGAATTACTGCTGTAAATCAAGCACATACAACTCCTCCATTTCTGCATGTTGTAATAGTAGACCAAGGGCAACTACAATCCTAAAACATTCCCTTTAAAGGCAGCAGAGTTGTCTTGGTCTGACACATGATGCTTACACTAAATTGTGAACAGAGGTGGAAATGGATCTTATCTCTCACAAATTTTCTCCTAAAGAGGAACAAAATAGAGAAAAGCACAAAAGCAAAAAGACGATTGGAAAACAACATAATTGAAGCCCTTTCCATTTTGTACATGACAGATTATCTACCTAAATGTATTATGTAAATGTAGAAACCACTTAAGATTTGAAGTTATTCTCTCCTATAATAAATATCTATGAACTTGTACTTGAAGTAACATTCCACCTCTGGCTGTCTGCAAATGTGTAGATTATAGCGAGTGTCGATTAGTTTTAGATTAAATCAACATAGCACTGTATCAGTGTAAAAACAAAAACAGCATGGTGTTAGAAAAACACACGTAGAACAAAACTGCAAAGCACTGAATATGACGTCAGTTAGATTTGGAGCGATGAGTCACAGCTGAGATGGGCCCCTTCACATGAGGAGGAGCCTTTTTATCGCAGCAACCCTCATGGATCTATAATAGGACTTTATTATACTTCCATGCACTACAGAAACTAAACTCTTGCTTAGTTAAAATGACTTGAATTAAGAACATGTTATACTGATTTGAGTACATTTCACATGACCAGTTATTTACCTTTTTGTAGTTGAAATAGGAAAATACACATAGTTACACTGAAGGTAAGAAAAACAAGAATTCTTTAATTAAGAAATTGTATGTTGCGTGAATAAAGAAAAAATACGTATTTCATTAGTAGATAATTTTACTTGTCAAGTGAAATCTACTCAAATAAATTTAAATCTCCTTAATTTGAGTAATTTGAATTTACGTAGATATTACTTTTTGTAGTGTGGCTAACCTACATCACCCCAGTGCCCAGCTCCACCATCACACAGAGAAAACACTCCTTTTACATGCTAACCCGAGCCTGATATCGGAGCTGCAGTCCCACATAGCACAATTATAATAATATTCCACAGTGTTTGTGGTTTAGATGAGAGCCTCATGCAATACATTTTACTGAAGACATTATCTTTATGTACAGCATGAACTACTGTCGTGTCCAGGTTTTCAAGCATCTAACTATTTTGTCCAAATGTGTTACAAGAATATTTTTAAATAAATGCATCTTTCCATACAAAGATTGTCATTATCTTGTCTGCTTCCCTTCGTAAATATGAAATGATAGATCAATATATCAATATCAATATATATGACTATATAGACTATATTGACTTGATTTTCTATTGCTACATATTCACTCCATTTCAAAAGACTAATTTACACTTCTTGAAGGTCCACTGTATTGATCTTAAAAAACACACAAACACAAATAAGTGTCAAATATTTTTAACAGACGTGAGACATAAATATAAAAAGTGAAATGTTTTTTGTCTATACAGTAAAATAATTTTGTACAAAACACTTAAAACATAGCTCTGCTTTGACAAGAAAACACAGTAATCAATATGATCGTGTAGCATTGTATGACTCAGTCCATTTGGTGACCTGCTCCGTGACGGACATGGCAACCTTTGAAATCACTGAACGGCGAGAGCAGGTCAGGTAGGAGTGTGTGAAATGACGAGGAGGGAGAGGATGACGCTGCTTCGGGTGACAGCAATCGTGAGTCCTAAAAAAGTGCTCTGACACACAGGGGGCGCTATTACGACTGGCAGCTTTGTCCCGCCTCCTGTTGAAGCACTATCTCATCTTTGCGCAGTGGGAAGGTGTCAATGGTGGTGAACAGCTCCGCCGCCGTGATGGGGAAAGGGTACCGCTGCTTATCCATGCCCTGTTTATCTATGAGGACCATTTGGAACGAGCGCTGGGGTATACGCAGCAGGAGCCTACAACAAACACATGAAGAGGTTTTCTGATGTATGCTATTATAATGTTTCCTCATCATAAACAGACCAAGAGTTTTGTTTTGTTTTATTCATATGTTTAACACACAAACCCTGCATATTTATTTGCTGAGCTGAGTTCTCTCAAACAGAAAACCCTCTTGTGATCTCATGTGGTAATAGAGGAAGTAGAGGTGGGGACATGCAAGTCGTGACTGGGACTCGAGTCACTATTTTTAGGACATGAGACTTGATTTGATAAAATGGACTAAGATTTGGGACTCGACTTGAACTTGAAGGTCAGTGACTTGGGACTTGACTCAGACTTGAGGCCTGAGAAGACTTGAGAAGCACTTTTAAATCTGAATTCTTTCTAGTCTGACTGTAATGATTTGGTCTAAGATCTTGTCAAGACCTTTAAAAAGGAAAAATTTGCATTTCTGCTACTCTGATATACTCTATAAATACTCATATATAAATATACTATGACTTTATAAGTACAGTTTATCTTAGAAGTCATATAAATAGCAAAAATCTAAGCTATATTTGGTACATTGGTGTAAAGACTTGAAATTACTTGAAGCTCAAAGCAGATGACTTGGACTTGCCTGTATTTGACTTGGGACTTGACTTGGATTTGAGATCAAACACTTGAGACTTACTTGAGACTTGCAAAATGACGACTTGGTCCCACCTCTGATAGGAAGTGCTCAACTGTATTGTAAAACCTCACACATCTTAACTACAATAATTTGGATAATTTCAGCCCTGGAATTGCAAATCTCTATTGAACTAAAGGTAAAAAGGTAGTGGTTAACTTGAAAACTACCGCTTCATGATATCACAAGGTGGAACAGAGAATGATCTCATCATTGTTGAAGTAAGTATGTACCTGAGCTGGAGGGCCAGTCCTGGAGTCAGCAATCTGTGTCGGATTCGGCCGATCTGAGCAGGATAAGTGCCCACGATTTCAATCACAGTCACATGCCTCAGGTCCAGACCACACTGTGCAGGCTGTGTACAACATAAACAAAACACAACAACATATGGTCACTTTAATTTACAGTAGGCTGCTCACCAACATGTGAGCATAAGAGAGTGCGTTCGGCTCTAGCAGTTACAGGAGCAAATTTGGAGCCAGTTTCATATTAGGAATAGGAATTTATTTATGGACAAAGTAGCAAAATAAAAACACCAAGATCATGTAGAGCAGGTTAAAAGTGACATTCTAAGTCCAAAATGATGAGGCTCACAGCAGCAGTTACATGACACTTACAGGACAAATTACAACCTACACTGATAACACATCTTTCTTCGCATTGCTCTTTTTATTTGGGGGTCAACAGTTAATCTATACACTTTACTGCGCTCTGATTTAAATGTTTGAGACAGAGACTTAAAGGTGCACTGTTTAACTTTTCTGGTGGAGAGTCTGCCATCTGCTTGTCTCCACTGAGATACTGTTGCTTTGTCTTTCCATTTCAGAAAACATTTCCACAGAGAGAAGCTGCTGATGGACCTAACACCAGAAAAGTGACAGTGCACCTTCAAGACAAAACCTGAGGAACATTATCTTTTTTTTTTATATATAGTTCCCACAGTTTTCTCTTTTTAGTTCCAATAAAAAGACATATCTTTATAGACAATTCTTAGAAGCCCACAGAGATTAATATACTTTAAGCAAAACAGCCATGCAAGGTGAAATGGGTTTACTTTTATAAAAACTAATCAAATAAAGTAGACATTTTATTTCTTATGTAAACCAGCATGAACATGAACAAAGCATCTGGCAGCAGACATTGGTAGTAGGTGGTTTTAAAGCAATTGTGAGTCTAATATTATCATAGGTACATGCTGATCAGTTAATGTAATATTAAAGAGTTTATTGTGTATGCAAAGTAAATGTCTTAATGTTCTATATTACGCAAAATTGACTCTTGTGAGCTTTTAGCCATGTAAGAATAATGTTACCTCATCAAAAACATACCTGGAGTTGTGTTTCGTTTTGGATTATTAGTCTGTCTACACTCCAAAATTATGCTCTTTTTAAACATAGTGGAGCACTTCCTGTATTACCACATGACATCACAAGGTGGAACATAGTGTTTTCTGCCTAAATATGCAGGATTTGTGTGTTTGAATAAAGCAAGCGTAATATGGGCTCTTTAATACGACACACAAAAATTGCACATTGGACTTTTATACTCATATCATCCATCCTTAATTTTGAATCAAAACTATGGCTCACAAAGTCTGACATTTTGCAGCTACTTTAAAACTTTGTGAATGTTGCTTTGTGACCTTTACAGTTTGTGTCGGGTTTTTGATGAAGATAAAACACATTCTATAAATAGCCACTTTAATAGCCTACAGTTTGACAGATTCTTGGGAGCGATCACTCAACTAAAATGTGCGGATTGTGTTGGCAGCGGAGAAGGCCATGCTTTAGAAAGGTCAGAAGAATCAGGAATAAGGACAGGTCCTGACTTAATGGCTTGTGATGAGTCGAGAAAACGTGCTTCCTCAGAATAGCCTGATCAGAGTCACTCTCTCTATCATTTATTCATCGCTTTGACATTTGCCGTTCATCCAACACCCCTCCCCATGTTTTGTGTCACTGCTATGGCCCGCCCCAGCAGCGGAGCCTCTTTGCATCGCACTGTGGGTGATTGACACACAGACACACACGCACATAGACACATACACACACACACACACACACACACACATACACTCACATAAACTCATGCATACACATTAGGGGTGTAACGGTACACAAAAATCACGGTTTGGTAGGTACCTTTGTTTTGAGGTCACGGTTCGGTTCATTTTTGGTACAGTATGGGAACAAAATGCTAAATCATTTGTTTGTTGTTTATTTCTGTGTTAATTAAACCAACAATTGTTTTAACATTATACAAATGGGAAAATAAAATAAATGCAAATTGCTGCTTGGTAATACTAATAAGTTAAATAAAAATATTCTCAAATAAGCAACAATTGCTTGAAATATTGTAAAAATAAATTCCTTGTAAACAGTAAACAAAACTTTTCAAAAAGTAAAGTGTAGCACTAACAGTTCCAGCATGAAGTTTCACTCAATCTTCATATTTTTGGCCAGAAAAAACAACTTGTCCACATTGTCTGCAGTAAGTGCAGATCTGCTGCAGTTACAGTGTCCCCAACGGTTAAAAATACCCTTTCACTAAGGACAGAGGTCGCGGGAATGAGGGGAGTATGGGGGCAAAAAGTGAGGACCATGGGGTGACGACCGTAGTTATGCGAGGCTTCATGTGGTTCGGAAAGGCGTAGTCAAGGAGGAGGGGCAATTGTTGTTAAGCCTTAACTATAAAGCGCTGCGGGAAACACTGCCACCCCAATCACGGATGAGTTCCCTTGTGAATATTAAAGAGCAGAGTCTCCGTGTAGCTGCACATGTAGTGGCAGAATGTAAACACACACAAATTGCGCATAATCATCATGCACAGCCGCGCACCGAACTGAAGTCCTGTACTGAAACGGTTCAGCACAAATACATGTACCGTTACACCTCTAATGCACATACATAAACACACTTTACACACGCATACAGGCACACACACACACGCAAACATGCACACACGTGCACTTACACACACACACACATGTTGGGAGTCATGTCTCACCTGTAGGTTAGTCATCTGGAAGCGATAGTTATGATTGGCCGCTGTCGGGGCTGAGACAATGAGCAGACGCCTCTTTTCATAAAACTGGTCCAGGAGAGCTGCCGCCGAGCGCACGCCCACATTTATGTTCATGGCTGAGAAAAAATTGTTAAAAGTTAAAAAGTTAAAGGTGACAAGAAAATTTAAAAAAGAAAATTGTAACTTAAATTTTTTAAATGTTACTATTTTAATTTATACTATCCCAAAGTTTCACAATATAAAATATATTCTTTTTGAGATTACAGTAGACACTGTATTTTATTTATTTTATTTTATTTTTTTATGTACTATGATAAGATTTGAGCTGTACAGGGTTGAATCAATAACTTCTATGACTCAGAGTAGCTACTTAAGTGTTGCATTTTTTGCAAGTGGCAAGGCAAGGCAAGGCAAGTCTATTTGTATAGCACAATTCGTACACAAAGTAATTCAAAGTGCTTTACAGAATAAGAAATACATTAAAATCATAATAAAAACAAATCAAAACAAATAATCATGAAGATTAAAATTAAAAAAAGAGAGACATAAATTGGAGAGAAGAGTGCGGAATGAAAACCTTTCAGTTATATGCACAGTTAAACAGAAATGTTTTGAGCCTGGATTTAAACAGCGTTTAGTGTTGCATTCTCATTTAACAATATTGTATATTTCGAATATATTTTATTTAATATTTTATAACCAAACCCTCAAATTACCCACTTTTTGCTTTGTCAAAAATATTTAGTTTTTTCTTTTCTTTGCTGCATAATTCCATAGATCTTACTTCATACTGTATATTTGATGTTTTCTGGATAGTATAGTATAGTATAGTATAGTATAGTATAGTATAGTATAGTGGCCAGGTTAGTACTTGGATGGGAGACCGGTGGGAATTCCAGGTGCCAGAGTGGGGCGCCAGTCACAAAAACTGTCATTGTGTTCTTAGGCAAGACACTTCACCCACATTGCCTAGTATGAAAATGGTGTGTGTGTGAGTCATGGTGGTGGTCGAAGGGCCTGATGGCGCAGATTGGCAGCCACGCTTACATCAGTCTGCCCCCGGGCAGCTGTGGCTATAGTAGCTTACCTTCACTGGGTATGGAGTGAATGAAAAATGCTCTGTAAAGCATCTTTGTGACATATGCCTGTGAAAAGCACTATATAAATAAAAAACTTACTTAGTAAACATATTGAAAAAAATCAGGGGTGAGTCCAAACTTTTGACTGTTAGTATAAATATAGAATAAGTGGGACGTTTTCATCTATTTGGCACTAACTCATTTCAAATTCAGAAAAGTTTCCAGGAAATCAAGCGTACTGAGTAGAGAGTGGTTTGCAAAGTGCTTGGGGTCTGTTCTTAAAGTTCCTCCAAAGTTTATAGTGTGTGCAGGGGTGGTACAAATCAATAGAGCATTGTGTTGGAGGCATTTTCGCTGCTGTGGGCTTGTTTTGGGTATACGTACGTGTGCAGGTGGTATCAGAGCCAGACCAGGTCAGCCCATACTGACAGACCCGGGCCACGCTGCCATGAAGATCAAACCCCCCCATACATTTGAATTCACAGCTGGCTCCATAGTTGTCCTTGTCACTGTCACATTTCATGTATCCGTTGTCTGGAGGAAACAGTGGACTGCACCGGCGAACTGCCAAAAAACAAACCAGCCGGAAAAGAGGAAAAACTGTGAGTCTGGATGAGAAAAATAAATGATCTCAACTGTAAATATTGCAAGATCATATTTAATATTGTATGAGTCTATTGCTGATATTTTGAAGAAGCCCGGACCAGCAGAAGAATAAAGAGAGAAACGACAGAATGCAGCCAGTGTTGAATCATATCACAGACTGTTGTTGGGTTTTCATTTTGAAATCACTACAGCTGATAATGTAAAATAATAGATTTAATACTGCTCTTTATTAGTGTATTGACTGAACATAGATATGGAAAAAAATATAGATATATCATGTTAAGTAACGTTAATCGTATTAATTGAGATTGAAATGTTTTATTCATACTGCCATTTGGCTTTTAAATTCTATATCGATGTGGTGTCTTTATTGGCTCCTCAGAGCTGTTCAGAATCACTCCAAGTGTTGAATGTTTTTTTCTGCTTAAACTAATTGCTTCTGGTGGGAATAATATAGCTGTCTGAATCTGAATCAAAATCTATTCAAACAAATAAATACAAAATTTATTGCATACTTGTACATCTTGTGCCAGAAGCTGCAAATATTAGACTGTATATTTTGTCCTTACTTTTTGTTGTGATGACAAATAAACAGAAGTGACATTGCAGACACCAGAAACACTGAATAAAGCAGGATCCTGGTGCATTACCTCTCACTCTGACAGTGAAGCGACAGGTGCCTTTGTTCCCTGCTCGATCAAACACAGTGTAGGACATTTTGTGGAGTCCTTCTGGGAAGTCTGACTTTGGAGGCCTTCCCTTTAACTCCACACTGCAGGAACAAAGAGGTCAATGTTTTAATGAAGACGGGCACAATATGAGACTAAAGGGGCATAATATGGGACAAGACTAAAGAACGCTGACTCTGTCAAGACGCCATCTGCAGTGTCCATGCCCTCCGGTGTGTCCCAGGACACCCGCGCCGTCAGCTTTCCAGGTTCTGCCCACTTGTCCTTTATGGTGGGGCATTTGATTTTTGGAGCATCAATATCTGCAAAAAAGTATGTAAGCAGCTTTAAAACTGATATTTGTTTTTTATTTTTTAAATACAACATTGCTTTTAATTTGTTTGACTTTCTACTACTTAGTACTTGTATAGAGATAGCATTTTATGAATGACTAGGGATGAAATAGAATTCGGATTAGCCTATATTTTTCCCATAACTATAATTACAGCAGAAAACCTCTTATTAAGAAAAGTGCTCTCCTCTGTGGTAGGCAGTAGTTATTCAGTAGACAAGCCTTGAGCAGATAATAAAGCCGGTTTACATAAGTATGATGTGTAGCACTAAATGTGAGAGATTAGAGTTATGTCTCACCCACACATGTAGGCGCCCCAGAGCTCCACATCTTGGTGTGCTGACAGGTCGTTATCTTCTGTCCCTTCAGGGTGAATCCAGGGGCACAGAAAAACTCACAGCGAGAGTTGAAGTAAGAGCCTCCTGAACATTTGTAGCCACCATTGGCAGGCATCTCCAGCTTTGGACATCGGACCTCTGTTTAGAGAATATACAAGATAACAGAGAGTGGGAATACTGGATGACACGTTTTGTCACCCTTACTGAAATTATACTGTTTATTTATAGTGTTAAGAACTGTGTGTCTTCTGGTGCTACATAAACAGATACAGCGGAGCACTTATACTACATGATTACATAAACAAAGCTGCACAACAAGGTCTAAGTCTAAGATACAAAGAAGGGTGCTGAGTTTACCACTGCAGGCGTAGTTTGCAGACCAGTGTTTGTCGGCCATGCAGACCACCTCTGGGCTCATCACCTCGTATCCTCTCTTACAGTGGATCTTACAGCGAGTGCCCATCACATTCTTGTAATGTTCTCCTCGAGGGGTCCGGCAGCGCACATCGCCATGTTTCACCTTGATCGGGGCACACCACGGCGTCCCTACAATCCAAATCAACACAGTTCAATCGCGCCATACTGGGATTTTAACATTTGCCTATCTACAGAAATATTTACTTTAACTCCGCTGTGGTGAAATCTATCCACAGTCCACTGTTTATTATCCCGTAATAATAAAATATCATGAAAGCGAATTAGTCATTTTAAGTGCAAGACAGAAAGAAATCAAGTGCTGTTTTAAAGGTGCACTATGTAACTTTTCTGGTAAGAGTCCAGCACCTGGTTGTGTCCATGGAGATATGCTAGGGAGATTACTTTCACTAGAATGTACCACAGTATGGCATTAAACTTGCTTATTATTTAATTAAAGGTGTTTTTTACAACATAACAATATGTTGAAAAAAATATGCAATCTACTATACTGCTTGACAATGGAAAAATGCAGTAATTGTGTATTTTGTCAAAATTGAGCTAAGATCAAAAAACAGCTCCGTATCACCTGTTTTATTTGGTGACAAAGTGTAATAGCTCAACTCTGACTGAAATGGGACAAAATGGAGACTTGACACTTTTGCAATTTCTTGTTCAACACATAAATAGACCACTCATATTCTGTACTTCAGCTGTACACTCATAGCCTGATTCATCAGCCAGCTTCACTTCGTGGAAACCGCCTAACCAGCATTAGGATTTATTTGCTTGACGGCAGACGGGTACCTTTTTTTTTTTTATTTAACCAATCGCTGCAATTTGGTCGTGACATGCACCGCTAACAGGGCTAACTGGTATAATAAGCTTTTCCCAAATCCTGCAGGAAGAAGGGTAATAACTTGCAAACTGTCTAGTGTATTGCAATTCCTGACCTATTCGCTGAAGAGAAAGGAAATTGAGAGGAGGCAATAGGTGGTGCCAGCTTGGCTAGTACAATCAGGGGTCAAAGGTAAAATAAACGGCGATGGTTGTGACTGATAAGTATTAACTCATCATAGAGTAACACATGAACACACTATCATTAATATAAATCTGACATACACAGAGTCACCTGTAAATTAGTATGTCGCTTGTCTCTGAAATAGATAAGTTTAATGCCATACTGTAAAAATTTCACGAAAAGCAACATCTCCATGGTAACAGAGCCTCCACCCAGAAAGGTACACAGTGCACCTTTAACAATCAGTATTATAATAAATTATGGTAGTTTCTACAGTTACAGAAAACATGCAGCTATTTACATTTGCTACTTTTGCAACAGTATTCAGCCTGTTGACTCTTACTTACCTGAACAGAAACTACAAAAACTCTACAGAAGTCTTTACTTTGTGATGTAAAAATCCACCAATCTTCTAATTAGGGGCAGATGTGGTGGATTTTATTACCTTATCTGTCATCACAATCCAACTGGGGCTCTCACAGCACAGAGGCAGCCTCGCTAAAAGACGATTTGAAGCAATTATGTGTCTGTCTGTGCACAAAAATATCTGCAGAGCTATTCACAAATATATTAATTGTAATTTTAGTCATTTGAATGTTGTGAATAGGGTGAAGTATTCCTAATATAATCTATATCTTAGTTTCAACTGTTTCCTCCTTCATAATCACAAACATAAACTCATTAATGAACTGGTTTGCACATAATATGGGGTCTGGTCAGTCGCCCAAGGGAACTGGGAATCAAACTGCTAACTAAGCCAGGAAATAAAACTGAACACTAAGATTATTATACGTTGTGTTGCTATAAAATATAATTCAAAAGTTCAAATGGTGCAGAGTCATGCCTTTTCTTCACTTTTAAACAGCCAAAAATGCCTGAAGAGTCATTTTTACAGTGCATTGGAAATCAAAATCTCTGCCTCCTGCCCTCTGGACCTGTGCACATACAGGAGTACAGTTGGAGTCACTAATTTCCAGTTGGAATAAATATCTGTTCTCATTACACAACGTCCCTGACTGCCTCTTCCCTGCTGCATGTGAGTTTATATTGGCAGAGGCCCCATAACCACAGAATACGAGAAAATACATTTGAGCCTTAGCACAAGACAAGAGTGTGGTTTGGCTCTGAGAGGAAAGTTCCACATTCAAATGACCTGGATTCAGAGGCTGGGAGAAACTTTGACGTAACTGTGTCGTCTAAAGGACCATCACTTTTCTTATGTGGACACACTGTAGGGTGACTAAACTTCACAGACGCTATTTATACCAGATATACGCAGATAGTCTTATACAGTGTTGAGTCTTTGAACTACAAATCATTTATGTTAAAGGGCCTATACTGAGATATTTTCTGATCTATGTTATAATGTTGTTTCTTCATCAAAAACATACCTGGAGATGTGTTTTGTTCAGCATATTTAGGCTAGAGTTTTTCTGTCCAATGTAATACAGTTTTTTATGTGTTTTTACACTCCTTTCACCTTCACTAGAATCATTTGGATAATTATAGCACTCGAATTGCCCATCTCTACTGAACCAAATTTAAAATGTGCTTGTGAAAACTATCAATACATGACATTACAAAGGTGAACAGAGCATTTTGAGCTTTGGAAATGTAGACAGACTAATAAAGGAATGCTCAAATGTGTGAATGAAACAAAATACAATTCCAGGTATGTTTTGATGAAATAACAACATTATGACATGGCTTAAAGCTCATAAGAGTCAATTTTGTGTAATACAGGACCTTTAATAATAGTCCCATTTCATTCTCTGGTGTAAAAAGCCTGATCATTGAAAAATTACAAGACACATTACAAATTATAATTTAACTAAGCAGAGAGATATAGAGAGAATAATAATTACTTTGGAGATCATAAAGAACAGATGGCAGTGTGTTATTTTTATCAATGAACACACTAATAAAGCTAATGTTTCAGATCTAATCATCTTTTCTTTGAAGCTCCTGGCAAGAACTTTAATTACATGGACTTGTATTAATCACAGACAAAACCACTTATAAACCTCTTACTTTGAGTGAATGTGTGCGCATGCATGTTTTACCTTTATATCTGCGTGAATAGAAATCTTCGTCATCTCCATAAGGGTACTGTCCCGAACCTGGGCGCAAAAGAAAGAAGAGACTAATTTGGCCAAGAGAGCCACATCTAAGTCCTTGAGCAATGTTTGTAAACAAAACATTGTTCTGTTATTTAAAGGGCCTATATTACGCTATTTTCTGATCTATGTTATAATGTTGTATGTTATACCTGGAGTTGTGTTTTGTTTCATTCACACATGTTAAACACAAAATCCTGCATATTTAGGCTGAACAAAAGAAGCTGTTAACTTGAAAACTACATCACAGACTAATACTCAAACATGTGTGAATGAAACAAAACATAACTCTGGGTGTATGTTATTAAGTTCTTTTTTCAGACCAAGAGTTTGTTTTCATACCTGACAGATTTATACAGGTCTGGCGCTGTCTTCCTACCGGTGGAGGCAGGATGGCAGCGCCATCTGCAGTCCAACTTCCTCAGGACAGTATCCCAGGTGTGTGAGAGTAAAAAAGCCTGCTCGTCCCGGTTTATAGTCCCATGGGCCTTTTTTACTCTCACACACCTGGGATACTGTCCTGAGGAAATCGGACTGCAGATGGCGCTGTCATTCTGCCTCCACCAGTAGGAAGACAGCACCAAAACCTGTTTAAATCAGCAAAATCACATGACCACTCTGAGGAAAACCGCTAGTGAGCATTCAAAACTGTCAAGTATGAAAACAAACTCTTGGTCTGAAAAAAGAACCTAATAACATAAATTACCGGAAGACCAAATGCACCTCATAACTCTGGATATGTTTCTGATGACGTAACATTATAACATGACTTAACGGTCAGAAGAGTCAGTTTTGCGTAATATTGGAACTTTAAACGGAAAGGAGGGAAAATTGGGGATCTTTTGGAAAAGGTATGTGATACAGATATACCAACAATCCTCATTTTCCAGTTTGTGGTTTGACCCTTGTTGCTGTCTGAATTTTTTTTTTTTCAAGAACAGCTCTCATGAATAATACTTACCACAGATAGCTGGCGGTCAGGTTGTAAATAAAACCTGAACACCTCTGTCAAGCAGTGAAACGTGCATTTAACAGACCTGAGGTGAGTCATAAACTGAATGTAGCAGCATGTAAGACACAAGACAAGACTCAGGAGTTAGGACTGAAGTGTCTAGTTCTGATTTGTTTAGCTGTGCATATAACTGGAAGGCTTTTATTACATACTCTCGTCTCTATGATGATGATTTATGTTTTGATTTGTTTGTGTTATGATTTTAATGTCTTTCTTATTCTGTAAAGCACTTTGAATTACTTTGTGTACAAATTGTGCTATACAAATAAACTTGCCTTGCCTAGTTTAGTCCAACTATTCTGGCTGAAGTGAACTCCAATTTTGGTCTATTTGTTAGTAGACTTGTCATTATAGATACTAAAACTATGTATTGCAGTTCATGTTTTTTATTCATACTGTTAAAATACATTATTGGAAATAATTCTGCTTTATGGTTTGGTTTCAATATTATCATTATTGTCTGTATTTAGTTTAGAAATATATCCCCCTTCAAAATGTGTTCTCGTGACAGGCCTATTTGTTAGTTAATATTAGGCTAGTTGAAATTTTGTATTGTTTATATACTGGTTATATACATAAGAAGAAGGCAGGAGACAAATGATACATTCTCAAATTAGAGGTGGAATCCTGGAAAAGAGGTCCAAAAAAAAGGATGCTGCAGCAAAAGACACAACTTCATGCCATCATTCAGAAACCCAAAACAGTGTAACAAGTTGTTTGCTAGGAGTTTTTAAAAAAAAGACAACAATGACCAGAACAAAAGGACATCCCATCAGTGGTGGAAGTTCAGAGAAGCCTGAAGTTCACCTGAGAAAGAAGGGTCTGAATGAGCAAGCTTTGGAGCTGCAAGATGTAATAAAACCAAGCAGAGACCATAGAGCAAAATGTGGACAGGAAAAGGGAGAAGCTAAATCCTCAGAATATTATTGGAAATCTCAAAGCGGTTGTGCAAGAGAAGAAGATCAAGCATAAGCCACCATGAAGTAGGTGGAGCAGAAACCACAACTTCCACTTGTCATCTGCATTTCAAAATTAAAGCCTAAAAACTGATGCAAACATGCTGAGCCTTAAAGGGCCCATATTTTCTGATTTATGGTATAATGTTTCTTCAAAAACATATCTGGAATTGTGTTTTGTTTCATTCACACGTTTGACACACAAATATTGCAAGGGTAGGCTCAGTTCTTCTCTCAGACAGAAAATACCCTGTTCCCTCAGGGTGACATGTGATGTCATGTGGTAATACATGAGAATCATTTGGCTGCTTTCAGACCTGGAATTTACAATCTCTACTGAAGTAAAGGTAAAAGGCAGCCTCCTTCTTCATGACATCACAAAGTGAAACAGTGCATTTTGAGCTATGGGGATCTGGACAGACTAATAATAAATAGGGGTGTAATGTTATCCAAGTCTCATGATATGATATCGTCATGGCATGAACCTCACTGTACTATATTTAATGCGATATCGTGAGAAAACTCATGATTAGAGATGTAACAATATCCAAATCTCTCAGTATGATATTTTCACAATATTCATCTCACAGTACGATATTTATTGCGATATTTTTTGGAGGCTAACAAAACTGTTAATATGCTACTTTTTCCTCTTAAGATGCCTTGACAAGACTTAATCCAAGAACGAAGACTTAAAAGTGCTTAGAACTGTTATTTCTTCATGTATCCAACACTGAAATGGAGCAAAGGATCATGCTCTATGTAGTTCTCTCTGTCTTTTTTTAGCTATTGCTGCACCATAACTCTCAAGTTAAGCAAAGAGACTTGTAATTTGATATATATTATGATGGTCCACGATATTATTGTGAGAACTTTGATGATATGATATCATGATATTTCGATTATCGTTACATCCCTAATAATAAAGGATTACTCAAACATGTATGAATGACACAAAACACAACTCCAGGTATATTTTTGATGAGGAAACACTATTCTAACATGGTTTAACAAGAGTCAGTTTTACATAATATAGGACCTGTAATCTTTTTCTCTTTAAGATTATGCCCCTTGTGAGAAATATGTCATATTTCTTCTTAATTTGCCACCAGTCGACAGCTAACAATACATTAGATAGCTGTCAAGAGCAAATTATTTTACTATAAATAATGCATTAATCACAAACATGTTTCAAAGATATTCATTGTTTCATGTCTAATCGTGTCTGGTCTTGTACTTATAGACCCATTATCATGCCTTGAATAATCTTTTGTCCTGGCCCACCACTCTATTAGCCCTATTTAGTCCTGGTTTAAAATTTTTACTAAGATTTACATTTGAAAATAAGACATTAGCCAAAATAGGGGAGGGGTCTTTGCCTGAGCCCCCCTGAGCCTCAGAGTGAATGTGTCCAGTGTTCAGGATCCACAAGGAAGGACTGTTTTCCTCATTGAGAAGCTTCATATTTCCACAGCATGTTGGTCAGTGAACGTGATACAGCCCATCTCATTCCTCCTTCTGTTTTTCCATCAGTTCAATTGAGGCAGTCTGGATCCAAATCTATATTGACAGTCATTCAACACCAGCATAGCCACAACAGCAGTGGGTGGTTTCGTCAGTCTGATCACACAGCACACCTCGAGTGGAGAGAGACACGCACTGAGTCACTTCTCCAGTCTAATGGGGAAACTTAAGTGTCTGCTTCTTAATTGGATGTTAGAGACAGAGAAAGGTATGTGAATGTAATTACAGACATCCTCCCTAAATGTAGCTCTATAATAACTTTGCCACTAAAGATTGACACCTATATGCATAATGTATCCTAGAGTATCTTTTTGATATTGTTGTTGTAAATGTAGCCCTGTCACAATAATTTTTTTTAAAGTATTTCATTATATTGCTGAAGAAAATATAAACAATATTGAAACAAATTTATGTCACTGACACAATAGCCATAAAATAGCATTTCCTATCCCCAAATAACTATAGTATATGTAATGAAAAATGAAATGCTAATGAACATGAGCTGCAATAAATATATGAAACACTTTATGAGTCATAGAAGATATTTATTCAGCCCTCTACAGCTTAAATTAGTTTACAGAAAAATTACAAAAAGTTCTGCGCTAGTACAAAGAAATAGTCCCAATGATAAATAATTACCTCCAAAAATAATTGTTCCATCTGTCATGTATTGAACGATAAGTCAATACAGTAATTATCACGAGAGGACTATTCATAGTTATTATAACTATCTGAATTAATGTTACAATTTGTTCATTATATATTTACGATATCCATGAAATATTAACTTCTTCCAATAAACCTGTCAGTGTGATGTAAGAAGTGAAGCCAGCGTCTATTGCAAATGTTTTTGCACTTCAAAGACAAAGTGTCAAACTCTGATCTGGTGATGAAGCAGCTGCAAGACAAACTCCAGGAATTTAAAAGAGAGTGAAAACAAGGAGGGTGTGCAGTAATGATATCATGATTTTTTTGGAGTCAAGTCACGATTTCAGTGTTACTTAGTACCTAATGATAATTCAATTACCCAGTGCAGTGCAGTTTTCTCTATGGCGATTAGCAGTTTAAATTAATTAAAATGTGTTAAAGGTGCACTGAGGAACTTTTCGGGTGTAGGGTCTGTCACCTATACTTCATATCATTACCTTTGCCTAGAATCTTTAACAGTATATCTTCATGGAGACACCAGGCCATGTTACATATCAGATCTGTGGAGAGGCTACCCCACACAGATTTTCAAGGTATTTTTTTTAGCAATTGAACCACCTGTGTTTGAATAAATGCTACATGGATAGATTTAATACCACACTGTGAAACACTGCAGGCAAAGACATACTATCTCAGTGAAGACTTGTGGCAAACCCCCACCAGAAGGTTACACAATGCATCTTTAAGGGCAACAGCATTCGTCTCTCTTAGACTTGACATACAGTAATCCCTCTAAATAAGTGATGACTACAGAGTTTATTCCTAAATTCACAACACTTGACTTTTCCACTTAAGGAAATAATACTCAGACATGGAAAAGAAATTAGAAAAAAGCTTGTGTAAAGCTATATTTTTGCATAATAGCCTATATTAAAGGTTAAATGGGTATCTTTATTCTGACCATGTTGGGGAAAAAGGACAGTGGAGCTTTTAACTGTGGGACTGCACCACAGTTAAAAGCTTAACTTAACTTAAAGGTTGTATAGAGGATTTTTTCTGCAAGAGAGCCACAATTAGAAAAAGCCTCTAAGAACTGCTGCATAGTTACCTTAGAAAAGTAGGGAGTTTGATTGACAACCTAACAGCCAATAGAAAATGAGGCAGCCTCGTTTTCTATTGGCTGATGTTTATCTGGCCTCAACATGTCCACAGTTGATAGATTTTCTTTCTTTTTTTTTTTGGTCATCATAATTATAAAGCTGCTGCGTCTCTGTAATGGTATTTTAAACTTTCATTGACAATTTGAAACAAATAAAAAAATCCTCCATACAACCTTTAACACAATTTAAACAGCTGTCATAAACATGAAGTGTGTTATAATAATAAACTGCTGTCTGTGTTCATTTAACCCTAACCCTAACCCTATTTAAGATATAAATGTTTGTTTTATTTTACATGTAGTGGTTTCCCCTGAAGTAATTTATTATTGTACTTAATTGAGTGGCTGTAGCTCGCGGTGCCCTTTCCAGGATTGTCAGCAGTATCACTGAAGAATCCTGGAAACTGTGATCAGGCTTTAAAACTAGAGCTGTCTCTGTCTGGTTCCTATAACATCTAAGGATTTCACTCCAGGGCTCCACCACTCATGCACACACACAAGGACTAAATGAGGTCTGTCACTAGTAGAACAAACATGGCACAGTTCTGTTAAATAAACTCTGTGCACCAGCCTCTATATCTGTCAGCTCCACACTCTTTTAACTGTGTAAATCTGCTGCCCCGATCTTCATGTTTCAGCCTGTATCATCACACAGCAGCAAACCAAGGACAGGCTCATAGCCACAGCACTTGGCCAAAACACACATACATGATGCAGCTTTGAAGTTTCTGAGCTCTGGTGTGCTTACAACAAGCCTCTGAAGTTAGAACTATTCTGTTTGCATTACACATTGCACAACACTTGTGTAGCTTCTGTATCTCTGTGAGATATAAGTTTGTAAACATTACATCTGAACATGGTAGGCTCTTTGTCCATATCATGCAACTGCATATTTTACTAAGTGTTACTTCAGATTGGGGTAGGAATAAAATATGTTGGGGTTGGGCTAATTATCTAGTGTGCCAGTCATTTAGAAGTCTAAAATATTAGTGAAAAGCTTACAAATCCATCTCATCAAAAAGTTCCAGTGTCTTACAATACACTACTGTAAAAGCATGCTGCATGTTACTAGGTTACTGTAAAAGCCAAGTTTTACAACAAGGAGCTGAACCCACAAATAGTCAGGGAGACACTAAAAGCCCAAAGATATTATCATGCTAAGAGATGATAACACACTGGAGACTAAAGTCTAGGGTCACAAGACGATAAAAAACAGATTTCCTTAAAGGGAAAATGTGTAAAAAGGACCAGCGAAGTGAACAATGCTTGAGCTCTGTGCAGGACTGAAGAAATGTCCCCCAGATGCACACTGCACTCCTCCGGTCTCAGCCCTCCACGTAAACAGCGGTTCACAGAGAAATAACTGCGCGACCACAACAAGCCTCCAAAACCGCGTGAACACGACCTAATAATCCAGTCACCACAAAAAGCTGAATGTAAAAACCCAGAAAATAACGTTTACAGCTGGATTACTACTATAGTGAATGGAGACCCGGTGATGATGCAAGCAGAGTGAAAGTATTCCCAAAGTGAGTAGTGCTGTCCTACCTTCATACCCCGCACACAGGCAGAGGTGGAGGGCTAGGATGATTACGGGCCACATGTCCACGGAGCTGCGGGGAGGACGGTCTGCCTCTGAAGAGCCCACTGTAGGAAAACTTCCAGCGCATTCCTGCTGCTCCAAGGCCCGCCTCTCGATCAGGAACAACGGAGGCTTCTCCTCCCGCCGCCAGGCTCCACCGGCGTGGGGCTCAGACAGGAGAGGTGCCAAACTCAGGCTATAATCATAAACACAAGCTGTCGCCTCGTGTTGGCTACCGTGCAATTTGGATGAACTTGACTTGTCTCAAGTGGGCGCACAAAGTTAATTAAAATGTCCAACAAAAGGATTTCAATTCAATGGAGCTACATGACTTGTTTCTATCTATGCCATTGCATTCATAAAGCAATAAAAGGTTGTGTGATCTAATTCTAGATAGTCTAAATACAAACCGACATGTAGCCCAATAGAAACAACAGGGTAAATCAGCCTAAGCCATTCAAAATAATCAGCTTCCTCTCGTCCTGAGGGTTACAATTACCAATGCTTTTTATGTGGGCTAGAATTACCATTCTGATGAGTCCCTATCTGAACTTAAGAGCAATAAGGCCTTCACCTGATTCATGAGATTTACATAGGCCTGTCTCATAAAGATTATTTACAGCAGGAACTTCATCTCATGTGAAATTCTGCTGAATATATTTAGGCATATGCAGCCAATTTGCTCTAGTTCACTGTTTTTGTAATTGTGTGCATAATAGGCTACAGTTTGTCTTGTTTCACAGACTGGAGCAAATAGTCCTTCGATAATAGGCGATGTTGTTGCTGTTGCCAGTAAAGGTTCAGAAATCACAGCGATTTTACCAAGAGTTTTGAACTGAATAAATGGGATTCGTGAGTGTCATTTTATACACCACAGAACAGAGGTGGAACAAATCAACGTTCACAACTATGACTCAGCCCCAGCTTTTACAGACATCACTGCACAGGGGATGACATGATCTGTTTTAGATTAGAAATACTGCACACATGGCTTTCCCTAGCAACATCTTGTAATGTACGATTAAAGTACGACACATTTCTTTTGGTTTTGAAACTGCCAAATCTCCCCGAAGACTTCATTCTGAAACATCTGGGAGAAAAAAAGTTAATCTTTCATGTTGTTTTTGTATTTTGAATTTAGAGATCAAACACTAACCCAGCTACCAGTCTTCATACACACAAAGAATTAAACAAAAAGTGTTGGATTTATTGGAAATATCAAGTAGAAACATTAAGTAGTTTTTGTCAAATAATCGTATGCAAGGGCTTTTGTATGTGGAGGGTATGCATGTTTTTCAGTGGATTTTTGAAGGATAATTCTAAATATATATGGCAATTTAACAAATGTAGGATAGTTAAGGGGCTCATATTACACAATTTTTTGATCTGTTATAATGCCGTTTCCTCATCAGAAACATACCTGGAGTTGTGTTTTGTTTCTTTCATACATGTTTAACACACAAACTCTCCATATTTAGGCTGAGTTCTTCTCTCAAACAGAAAACACTCTGTTCCACCGTGTGATGTTGTAACATAAGAAACGCTCCACTGTGTTTTTAAACTCCACACACCTTCACTAGAATCATTTGGATAGTTTCAGCCCTGGACTTGCCAGTCTCTACTGAATTAATGGTAAAAGCTAGCCCTTAATTTGAAAACTACCACCACAAGGGACAGAGCGTTTGGAGTTTTGGAGATGACAGACTAATAATAAAGGATTATTCAAACATGTGTGGATGAAACAAAGCACAACTCCAGGTAACATTTTAACATGGCTAAAATCTCTCAAGACTCATATTTGTGTAATATAGCACCTTTAAGCAATGCAATGTAAAAATGTGCTTGTACCATATCCTTTTATTATAAACAAACCACTGATTTAATATATTCATTATAATAATTTAAAATACTCCATTAAGTGCATGTAATATTGCACTGTTACACATCCATTTAATTAAGAAGTATGCAGCAGTAAGGGTTTTCAGCTAAAGTCAGCCTACATTATTGGGTAGCAGTGCAGTTATGAGGGGGCGAGTTCACACAAGAGGCTCTTGAAGTGTGCCTTGCCCTGACAGGAAACAGGAGAGAGGATTCCCTGAGCTGTAATTACAGTGGAGCTCAGAAGAGTGGACTGTTTCACCTGGTCGAGCCCACGGGTGCCACAAGGTCATGCAGAAGTCTATCCCTGATCGATGTTGTGGACTTGAGCTTAATGTCGCTCTTTCAGGCAGAATCAAGTTGCTGTTGATACTCTGACCATAGCTGAAGTTGAATTTTTAACTTAACTGCTAAAAGTCTCTTGCATAATTTAAATTTTAAAGGTGTTATATTATGCGAAATTGATTCATGTGAGCTTTAAGCCTTGTTATAATGTTGTTACCTCCTCAAAAACATACCTAGAGTTGTGTTTTTTTCTTTCACACATATGCTTGAGTCACCCAATATAAAAATGAAAAAATGCATAGCACACTCAGATGGCCAATGTCCAAAAGCGTTTTTTAATTTATAAATAACATTTGGGTGAAAAAAGTCTTCGTCAGACATTTTTCTTGCTTTGGACCACAGTAACGTAATGAAAATTAAAAATAAAAAAGCTTTTGGACATCGGCCATCTGAGTGTGCTATGCATTTTTTCACTTTCAACTTGCTGCTCCTTGCACTTGCACCTCGACAAGAACTTTGGTGTGCATTTTCTGTTTCATTTGCTTGAGTAACCCGGCATTATTGGTCTATGAACATCTCCAAAGCTTAAAATACTCTGTTCCACCTTGTGATGTCATGTAGTGGTAATTTTCGAGTTAACAGCTACATTTTACCTTTTGTTCAATAGAGACCGGCAACTCCAGAGCTGAAATGATCCAAATCTTTCAAATGAAGGTGTGTGGAGTTTAAAAACACAGTGGAGCACTTCCTGTATTGGCACATGGTGGAACGGAGCACGTGATTTGTGTGTTAAACGTGGGTGAATGAAACAAAACACAACTCCGGGTGTGTTTGTGATGAGTAAACAACATTATGACATAGATCAGAAAACAGAGGGCCCTTTAAATGTTATATGGCTCAACACTCAGCGTTATCAAAAGCAAAAGCAGTTCAAATCATGAGCATGAATTTAATTTGTTTCTACCAATTCTGCAACATAAAGTGGTGGGAAAAGGTGATCAATAGGCCTACTGGTTTAGCACAGCGGTGTCTTATTCAGTCTCTGCTTTTTGGAACAGGAAGGTACATTTAGGGCTGTATTTCATTTGTAAGCTATGCAAATTCTTTAGCAGTAATCATGGGTTTACGGTTTTAAAAGACCTTTGGGAGACATCTGCTTATTCATAAGATATAACGTTTGGTTTGATATGGTAATTACTCCGGCAAATGCTGCAATTTCATCACTCTGAAACACATGCATATTGGGTAACTGGGATATTTGTTACTTTAAATTAGAGAAAGAAGATGAAACTGAGGGCACAAACATGTCAAAAAGAGAAAAATGTATCCATATTCACAGATTGAACCTATTATATGGGCCATATTATGTAAAATTAACTTTTATGAACTTTTAACCATGTTAGAATAGTGTTCCTTCATCATTAGCTCACTCAGAGTTGTATTTTGATTGATTCATGCATGTTTTAGTAATCAGTTGGACTGCATTTGAGTTTTGAGTGCTTTGAAAATTATAGTTTTCACCTACCCTTTATCTCCAATCACTCCTCTGTATTTACTTGTGATTATAAACAAAACAATCAGACTCTGGGTCAAACAGGTAGGGTTCAAAAATATCACATAACAATTTATCAACAATAAAAACAAGAAAATCTACAGTTTGAAGAAGTGGGGCCTATCTGTATTGATGTTTTGAGCAGGAAGTCAATAAACCTGCATCTGTTTTTGATCAGTGTTATGGTTTACAATGATCAACATTTTAAATACAGATCTACATATGTTATAATTTAATACTAAATACCTGAAAAGCATAACATGAGTTTTTTAAGGACATCTACAGTAAAATCATTTCTGAGACCCCTCTGTGTGACTGCTCTCCTTCTGGTTTCAGCTGAGTTCTGTCAGAAGACTCTCCAGGGGCTGACTCCAAAGCGCCTCTGTTCCTCCACAGTCTTTTGAGGAAACGGTGCAGATAGGTGAGTGCTGTTCTGAAAATGTCTCCCTTTTAAACACCAGGCCTTCTCCATTGATGTTTTATCCTTAAAGTCAGATTCCCCTTTATCTTTGATCTACACTTTGCTTTCAAACCGGGGTTAGCATCTCTCTTCTCCTCAGTTTTGCTTCTGTCCAGATTGAATCTCTTTGGGGGCTGTGTGATTGGCCCGGATCAGTCAATTTCCCCACCCTCTCCTTCTCTTCCTCTCTTGCTCCTTTTCTTTGAACTGGGTCTAATTGCTGTCTTTGACTCTTTGCTTTACACAGGTGCGCTGGCAACCAAGCCTTTCTTCATATTAGTATTTAGAGTGGGTTTGTTCTTGCTCTAGAATGGTTTCAATCTCTTTTTGAAATGATATGCTAGGCACATTTTTTGTCTCTGTTAATTAATACTGTATTGTCCTGTATTCCAGGCTTGAGTGCTTTTTATCTACCCTACAGTCTCTATCCACTTGCCTGCAGTTATTAAAAAAGTCAGACTTCAGGTCATAATGTCACATAGCCATTTTCTAATAGTAAAAATATTACATGGAGCTATGAAAATTACACTGTAAGTTCCATTTAGCAGTTTTGAAAGCACCTGTTTCTATTATTAAGCTATTTTAAATCAATATTGGTCAGTTACAATGAAAAATGTATTTTTATAGATTATTTTTAAGACCAAGGTTTGTTTCTATACCTGAATCTATTAAAATAAATTATCGGAAGACCGCATTAACCTCGATGGACTAATGAAAAATGTATATAAGTATAACCCATTGACTGTATATATAAATAGACAGAGAGAAAGATAGAGAGATATTTTATTGATCCTGAGGGGGAATTCAAGTTTTGCTGCAGCAAACTGTTGTAGTTTTACTGCAACATTTACACTGCACTTCAAAGGTCTGAGTGCAGTTTACCAGGAGGACTGGTCAGGTAGGGCCAGCAGATCTGTGTCAGTTTGAAGAGAGAAAGAGTCAAAAGTGGCCCTCCTCTGTGTCCTGCAGCATCACAGTTGTGTCCAAGGAGAACCACGTGAACACAACAGGAAAGACCTTGTTCTTACTCCAGTCAGGTGTTTCAGTTGGAGATGAAATGGTTCGTTCTCTCAAAGTATTTCCTCTGGAAGGTCTTCTGCTACAAGTGCTGCTACATACTGTATGATGTAAAAAGCTTGTAGCATCTCAAATGTCCATAGCCAGCGCCGTAGATACCTTTTGCACAGTCTCCATGAATACAGGAAAAACTGTTTATTTCACACAATCCGACAGTCCCTTTCGTTTATTCCCTCAAAGTATTTCCTCTGAAGGTCTTCTGCCACATTTGCTGCCACATGTGGTGTTAAAAGCCTGTATCATCTCAAATGTGTATAGCTCCACAGTCTCCTTGGATATGGAAAACATAAACATGCTGTACTTCGTAGCTGGTTAAAATTCCATAATATATGACTAAGCTCAAAAAACAAGGTTTCAAAAACTGCTCAGTGTGTGAGCCAGGTAGCCACAAAAGCAGTCAACCACTCCATTGCCAACTAACCCAATAGCCGCTACGTTCAAAATAGGAAGTGTACATGGGGACACTTCCGGCTCCATCAACTTCAAAATTGTCACCCCTCTCACCGTAACGGCTCCAGCGAGCCTTGTATTTTCTGTCTTAAATTGGTTGTATTAACCGGCTCTATATAATCCTGGTGTTTTATTTTCGCTACTTTGTCTGTAAATCAATTCCAATTCCTAATATGGAACTGGCTCCAAATTCACTCCTATAACTATGCTATGGATGGCATCACACTGACTTCTTTATACAGTCTATGATGTAACCACACAACACTCAGTAACAGACAACCGCTACCGAACACTGACAAAATCCTACTCCATTTTGGCAGTGACATGGATAAACTACAGCAGGAACACGACCAGTCGAGACAAATAAAGAGTCATATGAAGACTGACGCACACTGCTAAATGTTAACGCTTCGCTGAACCTGATGAGAAATAGCTATATGTAGGTGTACGTTTCTCTATATATACATATGACTTAAATACAGTAAATATATCTTGCATCACAAAGTAAGGCGCTAATTATTAGATCCTGTTTATCCATATGTTGTTGGTGCGCGCACATACATCATTCATCAAATCACTCATCAGACTTAAATACAGATGTGCGTGGGCGGAAGAACACCATGGCGATAATGATACAATCTATATTTTCTCCACCTGTGAATAAGACTGACAGAAGGTGGTTCACTGTGAGGTATTATTCACTTATCGAGATACTTTACGTGAGTGTTTCATTGTCTTTTGGCATTGACTTTTACTGCTTTTCCATGTAACTCCTATATATAGCTGGCTTCACACTTGGATGATGAGAGAGGAATGGGTTACTCAGCACCCCATACTGCACTATGACACAAAGCAAACGGAAGGACCTCCTTCACAGACCTCCTCATGTTTCTGAAGTGGAAACAGTGAGAGCGACTCCAGACAGATTGTCAGAAATGCACTTAATATGTGTATCTGTTTAGCACATTGTCCATTCAAATCCATTGTCAGAGTCAGTGCTGGAGACTCCAAAGTAGGCATGGGATGTTAGTGAACATTTGTATCATAATGATCATGGCCAAAATAATTATGATTTTACAGTGTGGTTAATTGCATTTGTGGCTACCTGATTCACACATTGAGCAGTTTTTGAAACTTTTTGATTTTTTTGGAGCTCAGTTTTTAATCATATCATGTGAATTTAACCAACTAAGAAGTGCACCCTGTGCAGTTCAACGGACACAAGTAAAGGACGGTTGGATTGTGTGAAATTAACTTTGTTTTTTTCCTGTATCAATGAAGACAGTTCAAGAGGCTAGCTAAGATGAGATGACCTGAGACGCTACAGGCTTTTACACCATATGTGGCAGCAAATGTGGCAGGAGACCTTCCAGAGGAAATACTCCAACAACTTCCATGGGAAATACTTTGAAGGAATGGTCCATTTAATCACCGACCGAAACAACAGAGCAGAGTAAGAACAAGGCGTTTCCTGTTCAGCTGTCTCTCCCTGGAAACTGCCGTGATGCTGCAGGACCCAGAGGAAGACAAGTAGGATCTACAATAAAACATCCATCCATAAAAAGCTTTTTCTGTCAATCTGGTGGTGTTATTGTGATTATCTTTTTGGTGATTATCATAATTATACAAAATGAACCATGGACAATTGTCATTTACCCTTTTTATCGTGATCTTTTATTTTCCCATCCCTACATCAAATTAGAATGGTGGCCACTCAGTAGAATGAGAATAGATCAGAAGTTGAACAATTGGGTTGTTGTGGTTAGTTTTAATGGAATTACCAGAGACAGAGTATTAACAGCTTATAGTTCATGAGGGTGAATGAAGCTAGTGGAAAAATGTCCCTGTAGTACACGTGTGTGTAGCAGCTCCCTCACATTGTAGTGGTTTATGCTGAGCTTTGCACTTTTGCTCAAAAGTCTCCCTCAGTCTCACTTCATCAAGACCTGCCTGCTGTTTCATTGTATTGCTATTTATTTCTTTGTTAAAGGTACGGTATGTAACTTTCTGGAAGTGTCTTTTTATGGTGATTGCATGATTCCATGGAAACAGAAAATTTAAACCGTGGACATACATTTGTTTTATGCCATATGTTGAAGATTATGACAGAGAAGGCCTTCCTCCAGGCCATATAAGAGTCAGGTTTGTTGTAAGAACATGTGATTTTCTATTTCTCTTTGTTTCTCGGCTCAATAAAAACAACAACAACAACAACAACGAAATCTTTTATTTCAGTTTATTTTTTGGCTAAAAAATGAAATAATTTGGCTTAAAACCCGTTTCATATGCGATGACAGGTTGGCTGGCTTCTTAACAAATATTAAGCCTTTATGTAAGTGTTACATTTCATTTCATCTGATTTCTCTTTGAGCTCTTTTCAGACTTCAGAGTTCCTAAGAGGACAGCTGATTCAATAACACACATTAAAGGGTTTTTAAGACGTCCATTGATAAACATGTTTTTCTATCAGGCAACATTTTCAGTATAATGCAGTGTTTTGAAACCATTTATCTCGACAGCTTTAATGCACTGCAGAGATCTGTAGGCCATGTGTTAACTTTCTTAGAGAGAAGCTTCTTGATTTTGTGAGATGACAGGAAATGTGGCTTTGTTTATTTTTACTGGATCACTGGAGCCTGATGGGAGTTTGACTTGGGTCTTTGGAAGAGCGATGAGCGATGCAGATGAGTTTGTATATTTCTATATCATACGGCGTGTTCAAAACATTTTAGATGAAAAACACTCACAGGACGTTTTTGAAAGATAAAAGGAATAAAATCATACTTATAGGCTACGCAATCTACAGTCTGGTGTTGTATGGCGCAACATTGCCCCCAAGCGTACGGTAATAACGCCTGCAGTCTCACAGCCTTACTAATAATGCACTTAAAAATCGTATCATTAATTATATTACAGCATTAATATAAGTGGATGCATTACCTAGAAGACTGACAAAATCACCAACTGTTTAATTTCTCAACACATTCAAAAATTGTCCAAACACTGCTAAAATTACATTAGACAAATGTGTTCTTGCACTCTAAAAAAACAAATTCTATATTCAGATTTTCATGGGTCATTTTTATAATCTGTCCTCATCTGTCCTTATTATGCGTCCTAAATTTAAGGCCGCCCACACGCGCTTTGGGGACGCGTCATGTGCAGCTCGCTGCTGATTGGCTGAGGGCATCTGTTCGCTTCTGGCCGCATGTCCCTGAAGCGGCTTTAATTTCTCTGATGAAATCTTTCTCAAAGTTACACAGGGTTTTCCGCTTTTAAACTGCAATGTCAGGTAAACTTTTTACACTACATAATAATGTTTGCAAATGTTTGCAAACTCTAGCGGGCGTCCAACCTCGGGCTTTAAGGTAAGAAACAAATAGCCTTCTACAGCGGGCTGTAAAATGTAAAATAGCCAATTGCTGGTTGAAAATGGCTCCGTTCATAACAACGTGGTTTTACATTTTGTCTTTGCAGCACCGGGTCAGCTGCCCTCAGCTCTGTCCAGTTAAAGGGCCGGAGCTTTCTGACTTTAAAGGATTTTGGTTCCGATGAAATCAAGAAGTTGTTGTGGGTGTCAGGAGACCTCAAGCACCGCATCAAACAAAACAATGAAGTGGGTAAAAAATTACACAACTTCAGACTGATACGAAGTCTGAAGTAAAAATGTAAAGGAAGACTTTTTTGTACTTTCAGTATCTTCCTCTTCTGCAAGGCAAGTCCATTGCAATGATATTTGAGAAGAGAAGCACCAGGACGAGAATGTCCACTGAAACAGGTGGGAACAGACCATAGACTGTATAAAGAAGTATAAAGAACTTTATATAGTAAACAGTCTATGGGACAGATCGTATTCACATATTTGTTGTTATTACACGTTAGTAAATGTATCGCCATGTTCTGTGCAGTGACTGGTCTGGTGTTGAGACAGACCAGGGACAAAAGAACTGCTGACAGGACACTGCAGACAAAACAGTGGACCGCAGATTAGACTTTCACAGAGGGAATGTTATATTGTCATTGAACTTTATTTTGAAGGTTTTGCTTTGCTGGGAGGGCATCCTTGTTTCTTAACTTCCCAAGACATTCATCTTGGAGTAAATGAAAGCTCTACAGACACAGCCAGGTGAGGAAATAAATTAATATAGTTTAAATGTAATTTTTATACAGTAAAATGCAGATCTTTGCTCCCTCTGCAGGGTACTCTCAGGGCTTTGTGATATTGTCCTGGCCAGAGTCTACAGTCACTCCACTCTGGAGGAGCTGGCTAAAGAGGCCTCTATCCCTATCATCAACGGTCTATCTGACATGTACCATCCCATTCAGATATTAGCAGATTTCCTCACTCTGCAGGTATTTTACGATGCACGCCACATGTAAGTCTCCATGTAAGTCTGTTACTGCTGGCCCTAAGAGTACTCTGTTCTGCAGGAACATTACGGTTCTTTAAACGGACTCACAGTCAGCTGGATCGGAGATGGGAACAATGTGCTTCACTCTTTCATGATGACTGCAGCCAAACTAGGAGTTCACCTAAAGATTGCTACACCAAAGGTTTTCACCAGTGCAGTTTTAACATTTTGCACTAAAATTCACTTAGCCTTCAAAATAGCAAATACAAAACACTGTATTTTTCAGGGTTATGAACCTGAAGACAGTGTGATGCAGGAGGCGCAGAGACTTTCTAAAAAGGTTCAAACTATAAAATATTATATTAATAACCTGCTTTTCTTAAACTGATTCATGTAAATATGATTGTACTTCAGTATGGGACCCAGTTAGTCCTGACCACAGATCCAATGGAGGCAGCACATGACAGCAATGTGTTGGTAACAGACACTTGGGTCAGCATGGGACAAGAGGAAGAAAAGAAGAAGAGACTAAAGGATTTTGATGGTTACCAAATCACTATGCAGGTATTTTTTTTTACAATGTGATATTTGCCATCTGAAGTCTACTACATAGGTGTGTCACTGTAATTACTATACTGACTTGCTGTTCAATACATGACAGATGAATGGTATGAAAGTGGCATGTGCGTGAGTGATGATGTGGTTGGAGGGGCCGATGGCACGGATTGGCAGTTTCGCTTCTGTCAGTCTGCCCCAGGGCAGTTGTGGCTATAATAGTAGCTGACCATGACCAGGTATGAAGTGAATAAATAATGCTCTGTAAAGTGTCTTTGAGTGTCTAGAAAGGTACTACAGAAAACTGATGCATTATTATTATTAGATGGAACTTTATTATTTTATAGTCAGTATTTATCGTGTAAACTTTTCCTTTGTACTGGAAGTTTTAGTTATTATTCCTGCTCTATGATAAGATTTAAGCTTAAGAAGGTGAAATATATACTTACTAATGACTCATTACAGATACAAACTAACTACTAAAATGTTTCATT